CCCTGTGTCGCTACGAAGGTTAAGTAATCAATTCTCACGCCGAGTCCTAGCAAAAACGGGCGAAACACAGAATGCCGACTCACCAGTCACCGAAACGGAAAAATAAATAACAACTTACCCTGTAGCAGGTAATACATACGACCAGAACCCCCCACAGCTGGCGCAGAAATGTACGGAAGAAACTGGAATTGGTCACATCTCCTTGGTGTAGAAGAGGAGTTCGAGCACGTGGCGCAAGAGAATTTGTGTGCTCCAGGACAGCCACACTCGAAGACGTCCCCGACTGAGATCCATTGCCAACATCTCTTGCTGTATACGGTTGCAAAGGGAACACGACCTGCTGCGGTAGTACTGCAACTCTGCAGACGAAACGGAAGCAGGCCGTGCGGAGGAGATTCTCCTAACCCGCGTTCAGTGACACTCTTTGAGAACTGACAACTTTGAATATATTATTCAGTTTTATAGAATGCCTAATACGTTATCGCACGGGATAATGAAATCTACATGACTGTGAATAATTAGTAGACAATAAACAGATAGTCCACCACCACAACAAGGTGCCTCTGAACCAATTAGCGGTCTAACTGGTTTATGAGTATAACTTAATTTTTTTCTACTCTAATTTATTTCCTTTCCAAATCAACATCATTTCCCCAAAAAAACCAACCGTAATGCCCCCTTAAAAACGCACATTTGATCACATTGTCTGACGAAAAGAGTGGAACAAAAAGACAAGTTTTATAGGAAACAAGAATCGCCGAAACGCGATTTTAACTGGGCTGCCAAGGAGCGACCTCCACTAACTGCTGTTTCTCTTCAGGGATAAATTTGAAAATCGTTGCTTTTTAGCTTTTTTTTAGAGACTTTCGGTTTGTGTTGTGGATCTTGTTGTGTTCATCCCCAAAAGTGAAAACTGGCAGTGTTTTTACCGCCTTCTGTCACGCCACTTGTCACTATGCGTTGATCACGTGCTGTAGTGTATCCCAAGAGGGGTAAAAATGTTCAAATGCATCACGATCGGGATACATTTGATTTTAGTTAAGGCCATGTGAACAAGAATCAACCAATGGGAGTCCTTTTTTAGTTGAGGGAAAGTCTAGGAATATAACAAAGAGAGTCCTGATGGCTCTCGGGAAAAAAAAAACTAACTACTTCCCTCGGGATCTGACATTAAGTGTATATTGTTTTAGTATATACACACTCAGTGATCTTGGTGATTTAAGCAATCTGATTGGTTCACTATCTCGGACTATTCAACAATATTCACCTCCTAGCGAGTGGATGATGTGTTAGCTCGGTGTTTTTCCCACTTTTTTTAGAGAACGATCTTTTAAAAGTCGACAGAATCCTATGGCTGACTTTTTTTAAGGCAAGAAAAGAATTGGAAGGATTCAATACGGCGTTTTTTAATTTACTGTAGCTGAGTTTTGTGCTCAACGGATTGTTTACAACTCCCGTTTATTCGCGTAGAAGAAGCCGTTTCGTGAACTCAGCGTTTTCTAACAAGAAAATTTGGGCTCGAAAATCGAAGTTTATTTATGACAAACAACTTTAAAAGGAAATGTTTGCAGAAATTCTACGTTTCAAGTAAACAGGAAAAAGAATGATACAGGAAGACGACGTCTTACCTCGAGCAACCGAGCCGCTATTTTTGCCATCACTTCATGCGAAGAACGACACAACAAACTCTTTTGGCTAAAAAGTTGGCGAGTGAACAGAAAACAACAAAGCTCTACTTTTCTTCTCAGGTAAGGAAACAATTCAAACTTTTAGTGGTTCCATTTAAGCCATTACTCTGTTGTTTACAAAATGATAAACTTGTAAATTGCCATGTTTGAAAATTCTGCAAAGATCTATTTTTAAACTTACGCGTGATTTGATCTGTCAATCAAATCGTACTTTTTAATGGTTTCCTCTTTGATTTTGTTGAGATCACTTCGTGTGTATATACTAAAACAATTATTCTTTTCAATCTCGGTGAATAGTGGCTTTGGGAATATTTACCTCGCCGCTTTCGCGGTTCGGTAAATATTTAGCCACTATTCACCTCGATTTCAAAGAATAATTGTTAAATATTCCTAGACTTTCACTCAACTAAGGGACTGCCATTGGTTGATTCTCGGCCAAGTGGCCGTTACTAAAATCAAATGAACAACGATCGTGACCTGACATTAAGTACTGTCAACAGGAATGGGGGAGGAGGGATGCAGGAACAGTCTATACGCCTTATTATTTTATGGCTGAATCTGCAAGAGGGCAAGATGAGGAGAGTCCTGTGTTCTGATATGGCTACCCAAGTGGGCAAGATCCACTCCCTTATAACAGATCCTTTATTGACCAAGCGAAACTTTTTACGTGCGTACTACCTGCCTAAAATTTACAGTGGCGGATCCAGAGGAGGGGTCCGCCTCATATTTTAGACCAGACCGAGGCGAAAAAAAAATTTTTGAGACCGCCCCCCTCCATTCAGTCTCAGTGTTTGGATGACTATCCCCTTTTATCGGAAGGTCGCGCGTAAAACTTAGAGTTAAACCACGCTCAACTTCACGTTTAGCGCAACACTTCATACCTTGTCTCTATTTTATCTACGCGAGTAAAATTTACGTGCGTGTACACGCTCGTGGAAATACGCCCTTNTGAGACCGCCCCCCTCCCTTCAGTCTCAGTGTTTGGATGACTATCCCCTTTTATCGGAAGGTCGCGCGTAAAACTTAGAGTTAAACCACGCTCAACTTCACGTTTAGCGCAACACTTCATACCTTGTCTCTATTTTATCTACGCGAGTAAAATTTACGTGCGTGTACACGCTCGTGGAAATACGCCCTTAGCCTTCCTTCCACACTCCCAAGGGTGGAGTGTTTTTGATAAAGCCGGTTTATGGTTTTTGTGTGGACGAATGAAAGCGGAGGTAATCGAATACGAAGATGTCGTGTATAATACAGCACATGCATGTAAGGCATATATGCAATCGTATTTCCTTAAACGTATTTCCATCGTTTTACTGGACTGTTTACATGGAGGCGGGGACCCCAAAAAGGTAAGGTTACT